TATACATATATATATGTATATATATATATGTATGTATGTATATGTATATATATATATATATATATATATATATATATATATATATATATATATATATATATATATATATATATATATGTATATATATATATATATATATATATACGTGCATATAATTCTATATATGTGAGTGTTGTATATGGTTATAATATGTTTTTCCACTATTAGTTGGTGAAAAAGTTGGTCCTCGAATGAGTATTTGGCTTAGTACCGAAGTGATCTTGCGTTATTGATCTTGGACGGCGCATGAGGTCACTCTTCATAGGACACCCTCGGATCGTTTGCATGCCACATGCTCGCATGCAATTTGTAAATTAGTCTGTATCTTTGGGACTTACTTCCAACAGTCGTTATGTCGGTTTACTAGTCAAAGCCCGGTCATGTTAACACTTGATGTCCGAAATATGTCTGTGTGGCATCTGCTATACCCCGGAAGCATAGCCATAACGATATTTTAATTAATTGAAACCAATCGTTTTATTTTTTACAGCCCAATTCCCGGAGGCAATAACTCGGCTTAGCCCTGTGACGCAATTGTATGTCAGTGTGGATGCCGCTACGCCCGAGAGCTTGAAGAGGATCGATAGGCCTCTATTCTCTGTAAGTATTACTCTCTGTAGTTTTTTTAAAGCAATAATGGGTACGTCTAGTGTCTCTCCCATTATATGGTCAATATTGACTGTTGGTTGGTGCTGGAGGTGTACAACTTGACTTCTGGTGTTCGATTGTATTGATACGCTCAACCTTTGCGCCCCTGAGGTACTGGGAGCTCTCAGATGGGTCTAAGCTCAGCAAATTCACTGTTGTATATGAGTGCCGAGTCCTAGTTGTTACTGCGGTAAGGGCTGTATCATATCTAGGTTGGTAGAATGTTTAGATCTACAAGACTTGTAAGGCTGATGACTCGTTTCAGGATCTGTCACAGAGCTTGTCAAGGAAGCATAAAAACAATACGGGAGCAGGCATACGCTTTTGTTCTAGTAAGGTATATGGCTGCGGTATAGTACGGTATATGCATGTGTTCTAAAATTAGGCTAACTTAGTCTGAAAAAATGTACTACCTCAGGATTTCTGGGAGCGGTTAATGTCCAGTCTGGACGAATTGGGCCGCAAGCAACAGCGAACTGTGTATCGATTGACTCTAGTAGCTGGATTCAATATCGAGGAGATCGTTCAGTACGCCAAACTCATTCAACGGGCGAAACCGCAATTCATCGAGATCAAGGTAAGATTATTCAAAGTGGGTTATATTGTGAAAGCTTGGAAGCTTCTTGTGTTCCCACGTCAAGAGCTTTGTTCACGCCTGCATCTTCCCAGTTGTACATTTGATTATCTCGTACTCAAGTATGTACGCCAGCTCCATATAGTCATATTAATCAACCACCTTCCCTTCTCATATCAGGGTGTGACATACTGTGGTACGTCGGACGCAAGTGTGATGACCATGCAGAATGTGCCATGGCACGAGGAAGTGGTAGGGTTCGTGCAGCAGCTGTGTGACCTGACCCCCGGGTACTCAATTGCCTCTGAGCACGAGCACTCTAACTGTGTGCTGGTTGCACGGGACGAGTTCAAGATCGATGGGCAGTGGCACACGTGGATCGACTACGATAAGTTCCACGACCTAAACGATCGGTTTAACAAGACCGGCGAGAAATTCACATCGCTAGATTTCGCAGTCAAAACTCCAGTAAGTCGTTTGTTCTCTCGTTCCAGTATGTGGCATGATGCGACTCTTAGAAAAAAAAGGGGGTGGTGGTTAGATTAGCAGACCATCCTCTTCCGTCATCTATTTGTTTCGTGGAGTACGCCCACTGTGCAGGCGGTTGGAATCTTAAACTGGCCCAAACCGTGTCGATATTTTCGGTTATGTCCGTCGAGTATGGGCATTTGCTCAGGTGTGATAGATCTCTCTCATATAATCAGCCAAAATGTGATATTCTAACAAATCTCTCACCCTTCTCTCGCAACCATTCTCCACGCAGTCTTGGGCCGTTTTCGGTTGTGACGAGCAGGGCTTCGATCCCGAGGAAACTAGACATTACCGTCGTAGGCAAAATAAGGCCGGAGGTTTATAGTAGTCTTGTAGAGAGGTATCTTTTCAGTTGTGTGGGTTAGACCTAGTGTCTAAGGATTTTTTATTTAGAATAAACACTTTTTTGAACTCCTTGTGCACTACGTACTTGATCTGCCCGATGACATATATGAAAGCGTGAATCATGTGTCGTCTAGTACACCGACTTTGTATTCTTGAATCGATAGAATGATATCGTCATTCTGCAAACGGTATGCATTTACTTTGATATAATTACAAAGGGCAAGTTACGCAGTGAATCTGCGTTCATCTGTATAATTTGTTTTTTAACTTGTACCGAGCAAAACCGCTTTCTGAGAATAGTGATATGATGTTCAGATTTATTCTGATTGTGTGGTGTATTTGTGTTTATCACAATATATCGGGAGTGAGCGGAGGTCACCACCTACATGCGAATGAAATGTTGTAATCGCTTCGGTGAGCTCTGTAGTATATGCCCCTGCAATGAAGACTCATGTATATATATATATATATATATTTAAATAAATGCATATACATTTGTATATATATACCATGCATTGTACATACCAATAGATGTATAACTATTGACATACTCCAACAAAACTATAGCTAACGATATATTTGCAAATAGTGATTCTACCCGCTTGAATACACTGGTGAAGAATTTACATAAGATGCATCTATTCTACGAGTACATTGATAATTGTATTTGTATCTGTATGTATACTTAATACATAAATCGTCAACAACCAACACAGATATACAAATATAAGTACAAATACAAATAAATACCACAGGGACCGAAAGCGTATAACCACAGGGGTAATTTATTTGTTCATATTCAGACATTAGAGCCTATTGATTATTTGATTAGGGTCATAAATGGGCAAAACCTATTCCAGTCGGAAAAAAAAGGCGTCACGTACATTTTTTGGCAACGGACAAAAAATCGGTGATAATGTCAACAGGGACGAAAAGCTTACGGTTTCAGTAATAAACGTATATATATATATTTATATATATACATATATACATGTATATACATATTCATATATTATATACATACATACATACATACATACATACATGATAATATATATATATATTACTTTCGTGTTTCTGCACGTAATCACATTCAACTCATAAAATCTGGGATCATACACCAAAAAAGCGTATCAAGCTAGCTGAATGACAGTAATCATCAGAGCTACAAACGAAGAATTTTCTCTAGCCACCGCTTAATTGACAATCTTGGCTGAAACAATGGAACAATGGATCTCGGAAACATCATACAATCCAAACTCGAACGAAGCTCATAAAACTCACATACACTTATATTATATTATATTTATATATATACCAACACACCCACAAACGCATATCTATAATATAGATAATACATGTGTATCGATATATATATATATTTGAACATATACATATATATATATATACATGTATATACGCACACACACACACACACATATATATATATACATAATATACATTAATACAGCCATACATAAAAATATACACAAACAGACACGTGTACACACACACCCATATATATATATATACATATATACATGCATATATATATATATATATATATACATATTTGCATAGAAGTACATTATATATATATACATAATATACATTAATACACGACCACTAACAAATAAATATATACACAACAGACTACGTACGTACACACACACACCATATATATATATATTATTNACATAGTATAGTAGTATTAA